TCTATTTAGGCATTTCCCTTACGTCCATTACCTGAACATAATCCCTGTGATCATACAATAGCTCGGCCACAATTAAATATTACACAAGAAAATGCAACAGTACGTTTAACATGGAATTTACAATCAACACCTATGGAATCTATACAAAATTATGAAATCTATGCATATAAGCAAAATGCAACAGTAACAGCATCAGATTGGAAAAAAGTAAAAATTATCTTTAAAGAAAAAATCCAAACTATTGATTAATATATACATATATTTTTTTTCTTTTTATTTAAGATTGGTACAGTTAAATCAATGCGTTTACCAATGGCAGTTACATTAAAAGAATTTCAATCTAATAGTCATTATGCATTTGCTGTTCGTGCAGTATCAATTAATAATAATATTGGTCCATTTTGTGAACCGAAAACAATTTTTACTGGAAATACACCAGTTCAACCATTACATACAAGTCAATTACTCAATGTATCTACATAGTAAAAAAAAAATATATATATCAAGTTCTTCGAAAAACAAAACAAAAGATTCTACTACATTTTATGTGTGTTTGTAATATAACTTTAGCACACGTTTATCTGTGGATTTAAGTGTTAGTGTTTTCTTTTTCTTTTTTTCGTTTCCTTTTTTTTTTTTTGACATGTTCTTATCTCTTGTCTGTTTGTTTTTTTTCTCTTGGTTGTGCTTTATATGCACAAATAAGTATTATGAAAAGAAGCTTCTTTTTCTTTTTCTTTTTTTTTTTTTTGTTTGTTCGTATATTTGATGATGAAAAGAAATGACATTACTAGTGTTCTTTTTTTTGACAGATGTATAATGACTTCTAGTGAAGAACTTATTGAATTAGTTAAAAAATTAAAACGTGAACGATCATTTGTTTCGGCTGAACAGAAACATATACGTGAACAATATGCTCAAGTAATTATAAAAACTTCTTTTTTTTGTATGTCAAATTATGAATTTTATTTATTTATTTTTATAGCTTCTTAAACTTGCTGAACATGTTCAACATCGTCAATGGATTACAAGTCATCAACGTTATGTACTTACATCATTAATATATCCAAATCGTAATGATCAAAATATTCAATCAAAATCATGTTTTCAATATATACAAATTCTTGATAATATATCATTTATTGATTCATATAAATATTTTAATTATTTACAAGATTTACCATATTTACGTTTATTAACTTTTTTAAGACAACAACCAAATTTATTAGCATTATGTTTATCTAGTATTGAAAAAACTGATGGATTATTAATAAATACAATTATACCAATATTAATGACAGCTATATATAATCAATGTTTATATTATGATGATGAATTATTTATTCTTGAATTACTTCGTTCATTAATTGATATACAATTAAAAAATGAATTAAATCCAAGAATTATTTTACAACGTTCATCATGTTCATTTAAAATTGTTTTTGATGCTTTTCTAACAGCATCACAATCTTGTAAATTATGTAAATTATACAAATGTTCTTTTGTTTAATCTAAAAAAAAAAAAAGAAATTATTTATTTATTTATTTTAGTTTTAACAGCTGCATTACATGAACCTATTATGCAATTATTAATTGATGTAAATATTTTAAATTTTATTGTTAAAAAAAGAAATTGATATTTCTTTTTATTGTGTATTGTTTTCTAGGATGAATGTTTTTATGATATTAATCCGGATACATCATTGAGTCGATTTTCAAAACAAGAACGTTTAAAAAAGTAAGTAGAAATGTCACTTAATAGATCATTCGATAGCTGTTTTGACGCATCGATTTCAATTTCCAATGAGCATTGTAATTCTATATCGACCGTCCCCTCCCCCCCCCCCCAATTCTCGCATGTGTCTAACTAAATGAAAAGTTTTTTTTTCGAATATCATGACTATGTCTTCGTTAAGAATGCTGACGGAATTTCGATCTTAATTTCCATGAGTTGATGTTAAATATTGTTTAAAATTTTCAATAAGAAAAAAACAACAACACATTTTCATTTTTAGATTTGGTCAACCAGGTACACGTGATTATTTAGATAAAATACAAAAATATCGTAATGTTATTTTAACAAAATTATATACATTTACATCTACATTTATTGAAAGTTTACGTAATGCATTAAGTTTTTTTCCAACATCATTATCATTTCTTATATCACAAATGTTTATTATATTATCACAATCAAGTGAATTATCATCACGTGATATACGTTGTTTATGTTGTGATATAATTATGACATTATTTATTGGACCAGCTATATGTGAACCAGAAAAACATGGAATTATTGCTGATATACCAATAAGTACAATAGCACGACATAATTTAAATCAAGTAAATAAATTTTTGAATAATAAAATACATATGAAAATTCTTTTTATTTTAGATTGCTATTATACTTCAAACACTTGCTATGTCAAATGATATTGAATCGAAAACAAAAGATCTTTATAATAAATTTAAAGAGGTGATTAGGAAAAAGTCTTTTTTGTTTTTAAATTTCTTTGATCTTTTTTGTTTTTATATTTATTTTACAAAAAAAAAATTATTTTAGTCAGAATCATTTATATCTGTGAGTGTTTATATATTGTAAAATTTTTGCCTAGAATAAAACAAACATTTGCAAATTCTTTAACACTATATCAAATATGGAAAAATTATTAAGTTTTAATCAAATTGATTTTATCGAAATTATTAATTCAATCATGTGCGAGATTACAAATCAATTTTATATTAGATAAATAGTTAGATTATGAAAAATATTGAAAGTATTATAGAATTATTTTAGAATATGTAAATTTTTATAGTACTTTAATGAAATATAATAGTTAATCAACAATGCACAAGATATTTTTTTGAGAATAATCTATACATACAGATTTTCATTTAGTGTCAGATGAAAATAAACTTAGTTAAGATCGAACACTTGACTAAGCATGAGGAGTGACTACATATCGATAAAATGGTCTCGGTACAACCAGGACAGGGACTGGACCCAAATTTATTTTACCGAGATAAAAAACGATTAGTCTCAGTCATATTTATGGCTAACTCCTTATGTTATATATTATCAATGGATAAATTTAGGAGCTATAAATACTAGAGATGATTGTGAATCTTCTAACGCCAATAACAAAAGTTCGACAACCGAACGAGTGGGTTTTAAAATTTTGCTGTTCAATCCGGCAAAAGAACTTTTTCAGGCATGTTTTTTTAGAAGTTGTAATTGCATCTATGTCTATCTATTATTGAAATAATCATTTTTGTTTTTTGAGTATTCTAAAAATGAGTCTTGTTTGAGTTCATGTTCACTTATCCTTGATTTGTAAAAACATCATGAAGAAAATGTCTCGTTCCCATATTCATTCTAGAATAATTTATTCTATATTATTGTTTAATATAAAATGATCTGAAATCTATATTAATGATTAAATTTTCTAACATTTGTTCTTTATCTTTGCATATGATTTTATTAATAAATCGATAAAACTTTTCCATATTCACATGATATGAAAAAATTCATGATGCACATATACGCACACCATTATCCCAATGGTTGGCTTTTCTATTTGTTTTGTGTGTTTCTGCACTATTTTCAAATTATTTTTCTTTTTACAAAACAAAAAGAAATCATTTTATTTAATATTTTATTTAGAATTGTGTATCAAGTATATTAGATAATTTTATTGATTCAAGTCGAAATGTTATATTTCCATCACGTTCATCAATATTATCATCAAGTAATATAACAAGAAGTACTATATTAATAACACAAAAACAACTTCGACAATTGGTTAGATAATTTATATATAT